TTTTAAGTTCAAAACTGTTTAGTAAATAAATGACCCTCGCACCACAAGCCACAAGCTCACAAAGTTTGCGTAGTTCTCATCATCTAAGCTAGATTTTTATATTATACTTGGCGCAATGGGGCAAACTTTTAAATTTTGCGGTTGCGGCTTCGTTCAGTTGACTTAGTTGTTCAATGTAACTGGGAAAGTCCCATGATTCTTATTGCACATGTCGATAAATAAAGCACTATACTCATGGATTAAGTCGCAGCAGAAACCATGGGTCAAGCACCCCAAAGCAACACCCCTCAAATTACAGTCCTGGCCGAAGTGAAAAGCAAGTGGGGGAGCAAGCAAGGGGAGACGTGGGGGCTTGAGGTTGCCAAACGTGTTGAATGCCACGGCGCGGCCTATGGCATGCCAGGATTAGAATGTTGGCATCCTGTTTGACTTTTAGTAGCCGCAGACTTTGTAGCACTTAATACAACAGAAGATGCAGCTACAGGATGAGGTCCTGGCCACTCACCCCCTCTCGCTGATAAGTCACGAGCTGTTGGCGCCTGGTAAATAATTTGGTAACTTATTGCTTGGGTTTCTGGCTTAAATTACACATGCAATCGATATTACTCATTGCTCTGCTCATAAAAGTAAGACTCGCCTCCACGTTATAAACATTACACGGCCAGCGCACCTAGACAGGCGAAATCCTACCAAATATTTGTCCACATTTGTCTATGTATATGTGCGCATATATATATATATGTATATTAGTCGGCGTATGTGTCTGTTTGCTTAGTACACAATAGTTGCCCCTAGTTACGCCCGGGCCAAACAACAACTATCAAAGTTCCGGCTTGCGGCGCTTGTCCTGACATTTTATTTCTGGCGCTTTATTAATCCTTTGTGTATTTTTAACGATGAATTATACGACTCGTCTGTCCCAATTATCCTGCTGATGTATGCTAAGTGCGCGCTGCAAATGCTTTTTTACATTTTACATACTTTGTTGTTTGATTGCAGCTGTGCTTATTTGAGTTTAAGAAACGTTTAAAGTTGAATCGGAATTAACATTGTTGACTTGGCCAAGAAGTTGTAGCTTATATGAAGGCAGGGATACATTTGTGCTTGATAATCAAAGGAATGTTGCACTCAGTTTCCATTCAAGTCTCTTGTTGATAGATTTAAAGAAATATACCTTGGCAATGCAACAAGCAACATTTAATATCTTTGCTGGAAATATTACTTCAATTTTTGATCCACCCAATCAATGACAATTGAGACATCTGGCAACTGACAGCAGCAAAGCTAACAGTGCAGGATTGAGATAAGAAGGATAAGGTGTAGAAGGCAAGCCGTCAGCATGAATTTGTTCGAGTTGGCAGCTTGATTTAATTTGACATCGTTGTCTGGGGGCGGCAGACACCAGGTGAGGCAGCTAGCCCAACCGAAGGAAACATAACTTGAACATATTCTTACTTGGGGTTCGACAACTTCTTTTTTTATTATGCGACTTTAATATGTGAATAACATAAGTGTGAAGATACTGTATGTCCTCTCCGACAACCTTTAAGCTTGTAACTAAATTTATTATTATGTCTATTTTATTATGCAACATTTAATTTAAGATATTCTAAAGGGTATTGCCTGGTCAGATTGTTCTTATCACTTTTTGACCCACGTCAAAGTTGTTCCAATGAAAAAGATAAAAAGATTGCAATTAAGTGTGATTCCCAGATTTTTCGTCTATGGGGTTTACCAAACCTGTAGACATTATTTCCCTGCATTTTCCCGAAAAGTGCGAAACATGACTTTAATGAATACCGAGAAAAATTTGTTTGAATAGATTTCAAGCTGCTCGAATGAAAACCATACAACCGTTTTCCACGCATTTTCTGGCAATAACTGTTATGTGCAATCGCGGAAATGCGTATTCATTAATTTTTTATGCAGAAATTTGAATACGTGAACTTCTTGGAACTTTAGCTTTTGTCCTTTGTCCCATTTCCACTCGCTGGTCAATTAAAAAAAAAATTTGCATTCTCAAAAGAATTTTCCGAAAGTTCTACACACTCATTTTCCAAACTTTTGGAATTTTCCGAAACCCTGCCTTAGCGTACTTTAAGATTACATAAGATTCAATAGACATATAGCACGTGTATATAGAAACAGTTAAAACTCAAGTGTGTGAACATTGACACCTACCTGTTGTTCCATTTTCTGATTCCGGCTGCTAATTGCAGACATTTTGACTTGGGCTTTGCTGCAGTTTTGACCGATTGAAGTGTTGTTTTTAGACAATTTTCGCTATTTACGGTTATTCTTGTTGTTGTCCCTGTTGAACACACGGAGAGTTAGTTAGCTTCTATCATCAAACTATGCAGATCAGAGCATAATTAAATTAGATGCATTTAACAATATTCAATGCACTCAAATGTGCAGCTACTTGTGAATGTGACGCATGTATGTATACATACATGCATGCATTTGTGTGTGTATATACTCCGTTATGTGCTCAACATGCATGCATGCATATGCCCATATGTGTGTGTGTGTGTGAGTGTATGCGCGCGACAGCTGCCGTGTAATGTTTGTTGAAAAGGAAATTTATTTGAAAGCAAATGAATGCAGCAAAACAAAACCCGAAAACGAAGGCGCAGAACGCGCGTCTGGGTGAATGAATACCGCAAGCGAGCTCGAAACGTAGAGGGACTGCGGCAACAACAACAACAACAAGTTAGAGTGCTCTACTTGGGAGTGTTCGACTAGCAGATACCCTGCATTCAGCGCAAAGTCACACAGTTACTCAAAAGGGAAATTTTCTAGAAGACTGGCATACAAATGTTTGTGTGTCAAGCTCTTATAAATCCGAGTTATGTTTATAACAATTACATTCATTATATAGATTTATCGATACTATAGAAATTTCAAGTCTCTAGCACGACAGACGGACGAACTGCTGATGCCCTCTAGTGCCTGTTACTTATACATTCACAAAATCATTATACCCTATTCTATATATTTTCAATGGGTAAACAATCATCTGCACACCTGGTTGTCTGGCACTGTTGTTGTTTCGTGTATAGTTGCAGTTTTAATAGTTGTCGTTGTCGTTGTCGTGGCTGTATTCTTTAGTAAATAGCACACGCGACTACAAATCTACATGTGTTTGTACATATGTATGTATGTATGCAGCTAATACTAATACTAACACAGAGAAGAACAGTAACCGGCAGTTGTTGTTCGGCATGCGATCAAATTATGTTCGGTTTGTTGTGGTCGCGCGACGAATCGAAATGAGTTTTAATTTGACTTTGGCACCAGTCGCATAATTTTTAAACATTTCTATGGCAACTGTTCAATTGGAATTCATTTTGCACTATTTCACAAGACGTTGCAAAAATACATCTGTACATACATATGTGTGTGTCTGAGTATGCATGAATGTATGTTAGTGTGTGCATACACACATTCGAGGCGATAATTTTTGGCGCGTCTTTTGCTTTGGCAACGCGACGAATTCTCCGACAGCGAACCACACGCGACCGTTTCAAAACAACAACTGACGAACCGGACCAGCGGTCGCGGGCCACACCAGCTGCACTGCCGATTGGAATGTTCCGGCAATGAAACTAGCAGCAGAGCCGAGCGCCGCGACAGGACTTCGGGACAACATCCACCGTCGTGCACTGAAGGGAGGTTAAGAGTGCAAGAGAGTGCAGTAGCTCCCTTCTCTCTTAGTCAGCACTCCAGTTCTCGCATTTGCCTCACTCTTTGCCCGTTACCCATATCAGATTGGCTGCGGCCTGGCAGATGTGCATTGCTTCCCATTCAATGTTCGAGGGAAGCGTGGAATTTGTGTGTGTGTGCGAATATGTACGTGCATATGTATAGCATTTCATTTATATGTATGTATATGCATGTAAAGTAAGTGTCTGATGGGTATAATCTTGGCTTTCATAGTATAAAAGCTGGTTACTTCACTTGGAATGCATTTAAGCTTGTGTGCGCCATAAATGTCTAGATTTCGAGTCGTACAGGATTACCCATTTACATGCGTATCCCATGCGTAGAGTCTGATCTGCAAAGTATTTGCATACTACTGGGTATCGAAGAAAATGTTTGGCATTTCGAGGCCGTATAAGAATATAAGAATTTATACATATATATTATTAATACATGGCTATATATTGTTTCTATCTACATAGATCAACTATCTTCTATATCCTATGTTAGTCAAGCGAAAGATCGAACGTTTTGGAACGTCATATCTCCGCCTGGAGTTATGGCGTTTTGGAACGTCTTGGAACGTCATATCTCCAGGCGGAGTTATGTCGTTTTGGAACGTCATATCTACGCCTGGAGTTATTTCGTTTTGGAACGTCATATCTCCGCGGGGAGTTATGTCGTTTTGGAACGTCATATCTTCGCGCGGAGTTATGTCGTCTTGGAACGTCATATCTCCGCGGGGAGTTATGTCGTTTTGGAACTACATATCTCCAGGCGGAGTTATGAACTATTACCCGAGAGCTATTACCCGGGGTAGGTTCGAATATCAAAAGTTGTTTGAATATTTTTGAAGAAAATCTCGGGTAAATACAATCTGATTTTAAAATATTATACCTTTTTGAATTCGTACGGATCCCTACTATCATATGGCATCCAAAGAAATTAAAAATTGATGGGTTGGAAAAAGTTGTTGACCAAAAAACGTTTCGTTGGTATAATCAACCTTTTTTTTTTACTTTTTTAGACTATCTCGGCCAAGTAATCTCAGAGTCGAAGCATTCGCCAACCCATACAAGAGACCTCGCTGTGAGGTGTGTAGTCAGAAGGCTCACGAAAAGATCCTTTAGAGACCTCCTCCAACCACGACACAGGAGAAGCCCCAGAGCCCACCGACTACCTACGTGACGGTGCAGCCTCACTCAAAGAAAAATTAATCCCTCTTGTTTTAAAAAAAAATATATTGTTAAAATATTGTAAGGTATATATTACAGAATTGCAAAGCTTACAATTACTAAAAGCAAATAAAAACAAATGTAAATTCATGCATTATTTTATTATAAGTAAGAATAACTTAATTACTTATTTGATGAACAAATAAATAAACCCATATTGTCAAGCATAAATTCGTTTGCAGTTTTCTTGTCATTTTCAATTTCCCTATAAGTATTTTTCAGGTGTCGAGACTCCCAATTTCATTAAGCTTTAAGTTCGATTAAGAAATCGAGCTGACGTGAATAAAAATATATATCCTAGAAGAATCTATACTTTTTCTTTGTTTCGCTCTCGGACGGTGTCGGCTGCTGTTGGGCATCCAATTGGCGCTTGGGCATCAATGGAGGTGGGCTTTCCCTTGTGATGTAGGCTGGCGAAAGGGGGCGTGGTGCTCGCAATATCGATGTCAGCGGCGGCACTGGGCTAGCACTGGGTGCAGCTGCTCCGTTGGCTGGCGTCTCGCGACCATCCTCCTCAATGGGACCCAGGCGCGAGCCGTGCACGGAAGCCAGCTCCGACGGGGTCTTGATCTGGGAGCCGAGCTCGTCGCCAAACTCGCTGGCCATGCCCATGCCGATGGTGGCGCCGACCTTGGCGCTGGCGCGCTTGAAGTGATCGCTGAGCTTTATTTGCACCACGTTGATGAACATAGATGTCAAAGCCAGGCCGAATATCAGGTAGATCATGCTGACCATCACGTAGAACGGATTGCCCGGCACCAGGTCGCCAAATCCAATCGTGGACATCGAGATGAAGACAAAGTAGAAGGCGTCCAGAAATGACCAGCTCGTCTCAATGAATGTGTAGCCCACGCTGCCCAACAGTATGTAGGCAATGAGCAGCATGGTGGCCACCGAAACCGGCAAGTTGAACTCGTCATCCACCTCGAAGGTCTCGGGATATGGAGATGTCGGTGTCTCCGGGTGCGAGGTGCCCAACGACTTGCCAGCCTCAGCATCGCCGTCTGCCTGCGATTCGGCATCGGCGGGCGCGTCAGTCATGCCGAAGAACATGCTGGGCCGGCGTATAGCCATGTCGTAGACCGTATTGAATCCAGTCATGGCATCCCGCACCTGCTGCTGCTTTCGAATCTGGCGACAGGAGCGAGTGTAGTAGACGCGCCTCACATACGCCCACAGGAACTTGACGCAGCGCGTGAAGAGTTTACCCAAATCCGCCAGCACAATCAGGAACATCGGAATGCCAATGATGGCATAGATGATAGTCAACGAGCGTCCCACAGTTGTCTTCGGTGTTATGTGTCCGTAACCTAGTGGATGAGACAGTAAATCGATTAATCTCGTGATATTGTATTCGATTATATATTATAGATTATATTATATTTCTTAATAAAGATTACTAGCGGAAAATCAGGAAAACAGTTTTATAAACAAACAAACAAATAACAAGTAGAACATAACGTCTAAGGAAACGGGGAAAATCTTAGATTTAAAGTCACAGCTTGTCCGGATTACTTTATGGATATGTGTCTAAAATACTTTGATTGCCGAATCCTTCAAGAGAAGTGTTCCCTTGGGGTTTTACCTATGGTTGTGATGACGGTCCAACAATATATGAAGCAGTTGACAAAGTTGAATGACTTTTGCCCTGGATATCGGCGCAGACCGAGCTCTGCCAGCGTGTTGAGCTCATCCTCGAAATTGCGTAGCTTCTGGCGGGCCAAGGACTTCCAGTCATCCTCTCTGGCAAAACGAGTGAAAGTATTCAAAATTCAAAACCCAACTCAACTCGGCCGACGAGTAAGTACCTCATGTTGTGACTGACTGTCCACAGATTGTCGATAAAGTCGCGCTTCACCTTGCGCACCTCGCACTTGTAGATGTTCTCCGACATGCCCTCCGTGTAGCGGAACAGCAGTCCGCCAAAGCCCAGCAGCAGGATCAGCAATATGATGTGGGCGATGCACTCGTTCCGCAGCCGTCGCATCTCGGCCATGCGCACGGGATAGTCCAGCTTGAGGCGCCGCCACTCGTGCACCGCCTCCAAGCGCAGCCGCACCAGAAATGCCCTCGACATGCAGCTATAAATTTCTTTTTGGTCTGAGGTTTCCATTGGAATCACAGATCTGGTTTGCCCGACACGCTGTTTGCTCCTGAAAAGGTTGCCTAGCCGCCTTAGGAGTGAGGGTTTCTCTATTGTACACACTTCCGTTTCGGTTTCCAATGCCTGAGGCTCTGCTTCAATGGGCTGTGGCTCCTCCTCCTGTTTCTTCGGCCGCTCCAGGCTGGCTGTGCGCTTTGCCCTCGCTGGTCGCTCCAGGCTGGAGCTGCGCTTGGTCTCCGGCTTGACAGTTGGTTCCAGCTCTGGCACCTTTAGGCTGTTGCTGCGCCTCACTTTGTCCAGACTTTTGATCAGTGCCGCCTCAGCAGCTGCGGCTCTTTCGGCTGCCTCCACATAGGCTCTACGCAGTTCTGCGCGCTGCTCCTCCTCGCTGAGCTTCAGCCTGACGGGCTGCTCGACCGCAGACTCGCCCACCTCCACATATTCCGATTTGCGGCTGGATTGCTCTGCCTGTGCCTCTCGTTGCTCGGGCGTCTTCGAGCGTCTCTGGGGACGCACGGGCGATAGAGAATTGTTTCGACTGACCGAGTGGCGTTCCGGTGGCTTGGGTGCTGCCTGGGTGGTCGGCGGCGGGGGTGGTGCTCCACGAATGGGCACAGCTACATAGCCCTGCAGCGGAGGTGCTGCCTTCTTGACCTTGGTGTGCCTTTCCTCAGTCGTGTCCGCATCGGAGGAACTGAACTGGGTGGACGACTCCTCGTAGCCGCTGCTGCGATTGCGCAGACGCACAGAGGGCGCCTCGTGGCGCTGCAGGCGCAGGCTCTGCACCAGTCGGCGGCGCTCCTCCTCGTCCTGCGGCAGCTGGAAGCCGTCGCTGATCTTGCGGTAGTTTTGCAGCAGCCGTTTGCGCTCCTCGTGGTCCAGCTGCTGGCGATGACGCACCTTGTGCTCCCGCCGCTCGCGCTCGAACAGCCGCTTCTCTGTCTCGAAGCGGCGTCGCTCCTCCTCAAAGCGCAGCATGTTCTGCTCCAGCCGGCTGAGCGTGTCCCCGTTGCTGCCCCGCTTCTGCTGGGCCGTGTACTGTGACTGCGAGCTGCCCGTCAGCTCGCTCTCGCTGGACTCGTCCTTGTGCCGCGGCGACGACAGACTGCGTTGGTGCTTGATCAGCTGGTGGGCATCGGGAATGCTCAGCTTCTCGGCCTCGCGCGGTTGACTCTGGCTACGCGCCGCGACGCCCGCGAAGCTTTTGTCCCTTCGTCGCAGGATTTTGCTCTCGTGGGCGGACATTACACCGGGCGGACGAATCTGCATGGACACGTGCTGTGCCGTCGGCTCCTGATCCTCATCCTGATCCTCCCGTTGGTGGTCCGAGTACCTCCGGCTGGCGTCGGGCGTCTGCTCGCGCTGACTGCGTGCCATGCGGCGGCGGTGTCGTATCTGCCTGGACGATGCCACAGCTCCCTGATGCCCGGCATTCTCCATGGCGCAGTCCAATTTCAGAAATTCTGCTTATGCTCAGAGTTTACTTAAACGTTCGTCTCTCTCTCTCTCTCTCTCTCGCTCTCACTCTATCTCTCTTCTCCGCATTGGCTCTATTTTTATCACACGTTCATATTTGTATTTCAATTGCCCAAATGGAAAATTATTTCTATACGTAATTATATCACTTTCGCGTGCAATTTCTTTTTATAGCGCTCGACCAGGCGTGTCAAGTGTAATAAGCGGGGCGATTCCTATGGACTCTCAAATCCCAATATCTCTCAATCCACATAATTCATATTCATATTCAGCTTTTCGTATCTATGTGCACTTCACTGTCACATTCCCTCACATATATGCATATACACCTAGGTATATATTTATATTTCAGATATATTTATTCTGAAATAAATAAGTCTATTCGAGAGCACGTCGCAGCTCGCTACGACGTCGTCTGGTTTTCAACTGCTCCGCACGAAAATATTCAAAAATGTTGTATACATTTTTTGAAAAATACTTATCAAAAGCAACAGCTGATTTTTCCCCTCACATATCGTCGTCGGTTTCTATGTTCGTGTCCGCCACTGTTCGATTTCCATATAACTTTTAATTTAATTAAAAAAACTTTAATTATCTTTTAATTATATGTTATCCAGATTATTTATGCAACATAGATTTTCATAAGCAACATTTGCAACAGCAATTTCTGTTGTTCATATATGCGTTTAGGCTGTGCACAATTTTCCTGCCACGACTGTTGAAAAGCTCTTAAAGCTCTCGTCATCTGTTGCCGTCAAAATTTGCTCCACAGAACGCATTTAAATTTAGTATATAAATTAGTGTAGCTTCACAAGTCATATGCTAGAAGTTCAGTCACTTTTAAATATTTTCCCAAGATTAAATTGTCAATTATTTAATGAGAACTATTCATTTTTTGATAATTTTTTCCAGTATACATTTTGTTATTCTAAGAGTTTTGGCAGAATGGAATGCAAACTCCAGCTAATAGCAAAAACGAGTTATTCGTTTTTTAAAAATATATTTAATTAATTTAAATTTTTCGATGTTGTCATCAAGTATCTATATTTACAGCGACTGCATTAATTATATGCTCTATTATAATAATTACACATCATTAACTATTGTTTGAATTTTTTGTATAAGTTTTTTTGAGTACTCAGTACGTAATAATAATTGCATTTTGTAGCAATGCTCAAAATTGCCTTAAGGTTTAAAAATGTTCAAAACATGGCGAGGAAGATATAAAATGATTCAAGATTTTATAATTTATCTACCCTGATAATAGCTCTATCATACATTCAATAGAGCAATATTCTTAAACGCAATACCCTGTAACTGATTTTTTAGTCTTCGGTTGATGAGTTCAGCTTGATAGCAGGACCACTTGAAAGGATAATAGAATTCTACTGGCAAATGAACATCATATACCTGAGCTTAGGCTATTTTTGTTTTTAGTAACATATTTCATAGAATTTTTAACTATGTTACTTTGGCGCATCGAACAAATAATAAACGGAGCGATTTACCCAATAGAATTCATTTGATATAGAGGTACCCTCTTGCTGATAAGTGAGGAAAATAGTGAAGTATGTAATTGCTGAAGTCCGTCGTCATATCTTGGAAAAACGAACTTAGTTTTGAGCGATTCTTCCCATAGAGCTACTTGATATGGGAGTCCGATGTTGAGTAAGGCTCTTCGATGTCAACTTTGGTCAAGATATCTTGAAAAGCAAACAAGACAAACTTGCAGTCACGACAATGTCAACTTGGCTGTTGACAATGATTAAGAATATTTACATTAGGAGCAGTCTCCCTCTTGGAGAATGAGGATAACAGGGATAACTTTTACCCTTCTGAACAAAATATTATTAAAAGGCTAAGGTTGACAAACATTTTAAGCTGACTGATCAGAAATTTCATATTCGTTTTGAATGCTAAGCAAAGAGTTTAAAAAACGACTAAGATATTAATGCCAGGAATGGACTATATATATATAACTTGCGTGATTTAATTGGGAGTCTTTAAATCTTTTCAAATAAGTCTTGCATTTTTATTTACGCGCCCGACTGATATTTCCTTCCGCCTTCCGCCTTCCGCTTTCTCTGCTCGCGCGGTTCGTGACTTGTTTCTCATAAATGTTTTGTTGAAATTAAATAAAATCACACTCAATCTGAAGGCATACCGAATTGCCTGACTATGTCTGTGAATGAAAATTCTAATGAAAATTCAATTATAATTCTTTTTCGATTTTCGCGATCAACACTCGTGACGCCATCCCAGCCGAAGCGTACGTAAATATTTTGGCACCAGGGAGCAGCATACATATGCCGAATGTGGATTTCCACAAGAATTTAATATCAAACCAATTCGACCAAATACTTCAGCTGTGTGTTTAAATTGGCGCACACTTGATAGACGTGCTCCACCAGCCACACGTGGCGTATGCGTAATGCTTGCCCGTTGATGACGGATCCAGTTCGCAATTAACGCTTGCCTATGTTTATTTTGATTGCTTGGGCTTTTTATTCAGGAATTGCTGCTTGAATTGAATACATATCTGAGCACGTTCAATAATTGTTTACCCTTCAAGTAAGGACTTGACTTTGGATATGAAAAAGAAAAGACGCACGTCAAAATAGATTTGATTAAGTGTAAGCAATTCGTGAGAAATTCGTCTGATTGTCTGATTCTAAATTTGTTTTTAAAATCTTTTATTAAGAACGATGACAATTTTCCAAAAATTTAAGACAACTTAATATTCGTCTGCGCACACACACACACACATATATAAATGTGTATTTATCTATATATATATAAAATCATATATTATCTCGCATGCAAATGTTTCTTATAAATAACACTCACACACACACACACACACACACATTTGCGAGGTACTTTCGCCAGCAAAAGAAAAACATCGGAAACTATTTCCATTTTTTTGTGTCACATACTTTTCACGAAAATGTTGACAAGTTCTTTAAAATAAGTATTTACAGCAGATATCATATATGTATATATATATGTATATATGTATGTGCATGTGACTAAATATAAAATTCGTGACAAATTGATAATTTCATTTTGCACAATTTGTTCAGGTCAGGGCAAATAGCTAAACTCACCGATTGTCGTGTAAATGGTGCAGCTGTAGACCATGGCATTCCAGAAGGACCATGGATTCTTTTTGATCGCATCCTCCTCCTCTGTCAGGCCGGACCTGAGCAGAGTCTCAATAATTTCCTTATGATCATTCATTATCCGAAGCACATCGCCATCAAAAACCGATTCTGGCAACTATCGAAATGGTTTATCATTTTTAGCTTAAGTTATTAAGAACTTAAGGGTTCTATTTTTTTTTTTTACCTACCGTACGTGCACGTGGATTTTTCGTCATTTCTCGCAGTTCATTGAAGAACATTTTCTGCTGGTATTGCAGGTTCTTTATTTCTAGGGCAGCGGGCCGAACTGTTGAAGAGAACAGATCCAAAATCGGATATAAATGACATGTTATCTATTTTCCTTATATTGATTTTTACGAAACTTCCCTAAGGTTCAGCCAAATATTGAACATAGATTTACATAAATGCTAGTCGAAGATCTTAGGGCTAAAATTTAAAACTTTATACACATTTTTTTAAAGCTGCTTTCACACGGCGACTAGAGTATTGCACAGTCGAGTGCATCCGACTGCAAAGCTTTTTGTTTATTTTTGACCGAGTTTCGAATTAAAGAATAAACATAAATTTGACTTTGAATCGAATAATTGACGTTTTGGCTGCTCGCGCTAAACTAAAGTGATTTTTACGCATGTTTTTTAATGGAAATATAAAAAATATATAATAAATTATATTTATTCGTAATTTTTAATTAAATTTGTTGAAAAGCTTCGTCTAGTCTGCAACTAGTTTACATAGAAACTGACAGATAAATAGACGAAAATGACTTTATCGATCGATTATATATCGAGTCGGCTGATAATGCTGATCTAGAATATATTATATAACTTTTACGAGGTCGCTGATCCTTTGTAAAATGCTTTATTATATTCAGGATGAAATTATACTTATTATATATTTTAAATGCACATATATCTATATATATATAGTTTGTCCCATCTGACTGGCTGGGAATCAAAGCACAGCCCAAAAAGATCTGAAGTTCTCTCAAGATTTTTTGCTTTCTTCGACTCGATGAGGCAGTATCTAGTATCTCAAAGTCAGTTAGAATTCTATAACTTTAAGAATCTTTAAAAACATTAAAAAAAAATTAATTTACAGTTTGGCAGCTTGGAAGTTACAGTCTTAGAGTCACCAGACCACATATAATACTCTTTTCGACTGATTAAAACGGAAACCACAAAGTGAACAGAATATTTCGCAGTCGGTGGCAAGGTTCTACTGTTAATCAGTAAAGCCAAAGTGAAACGAATTTATATTCGAGAGGGAGAGAGAAACTATGGATATCATCAGCACGCCGAAGATTGAATACCCTTGTAGAAATATGCCCTGTGCAGAGATGTAAGATCAGTGAGTCTCATAAATGCTGAGTTTTATGAAAATATCTTGGAAAACAGCAAATGCTGGCATACAGGAAACTCCTTTTTTTACCGATCGTTCCTATATCAGCTATATATATATTGAAAGTCTGACGTTGATAGGATTTTGTATGTAGGAAGTTTAAAAGTCTTGAAGCTAGCCTCTCAGGGACTGCATAAATACTGACTTGACTATATAAACTCGTTTCTTGATGCTGAACTACACTATATAGATTCTATATGGGACTCGATTCTTGATGCTGATCTGCACTATATAGACTCTATATGTGTGTCGGAGGAGTCGACTTCTATGCGATACTCATGTTATGACAATATTATTTGACCCTGGACAAGGGTATGAACAACTTGAAAAGGCCTGCACCTGAACGTGTGCTAAGCACATGTCCAAGTGTAATTTGATGAAATGTAATTCTGAAAGCAGTTTCTATTTTCCAATCATCGGCTGCAATTACTGAGCTGCTGCTGTTAAAATTAATCATCTTCCTTGTCGATTGTTTATGCCTGGGGGCCATTTGCTGTGATTCATGTGTGTATTTCATTGTTTTATTCTGCACGATCATCCGCTGCTTTGACTAAATTATTTGTGTATTGTCAGAAAACATCGAATCCGATCGATCGGAAAAGCTTTACGAGCCAACATGATGCTGTGCAGGTATATATTTGTGTATTTAGCCTTTGGTTGGGCTAAACTGTTCTCAAAACAATTGCCGAAGTGCTTGATAAGCAAACAAATCATCTGCA